GCCAGCGTGTGATATGTCCAGAAGATGCGTGTGCTAATCCAATACGAAATCACAACATCAACAGTGTAATGTCCCCTCGAAACCAACAATAATATCACTCCAACGGCTGACACCATTATTGATAAAATGTGCAGTGGTTTCCAACGACGTGGGCTATCTGAAGGAAAGCAAAATTATTTGGCGATCGATCTCATTTAAGATCGATCACAAACTATGAGTGTAAAAAGTCGACGATCTTGCAAATCATAAAATACATTATGCATTGTAAAATAAAAATGCATGATATAAACAATCGAATTGATACTTTGTTAACTATGCTCACAATCAAATTTCTGAGCAGTGTTTAAAAAATTAGTGCTGCTGATAATATCAGAAAGATAAGCAACGCAACAACAAGCAACCATTAACTAACATTCCTGTATGAACAGCGAACTTATAACCAAAACCACTGTATGACCACTGTAAATGTAATCACCGCAAAGCGTATTTTTACCATTAATACTCAAGCCAATACCCATCAAAGTACGAAGAGCTCGCAAGACAATATTCGAAAAATTCAAATCTGCGCCCTGAAAAACGTCGAAACATCAAGCTCTTAGCCTTGACCTTTGACTTTTTCGTACCGTATTCCTATAAATTGTTGTAGCGACCATACGAAGAATTAATAAACCCATTCATTGATAGAGACCCATAAAAATGATTTTTATTTGATGACGAAGCGGCATACCTGAAGGCGAGGTGCACAATAATAATTCGGATCTGCCACGGGCACTTGCGTCACAAACATTGTAACGCACCGACCAAAGTACAGTAACGATGCGATGAACGCGATCCTCCTGAATTGAACATTATTTATTCGTTGACTCATCATCACTTCTAATGGCAACCGAGCACAAATATGATGACTCAACATCAATACAGTCAAAGTTTCCGTTGCTNCACCCCTACTAATGTTTACTTTGCTCAAAACTGATTACAACAAGCAGTTTGAGTGATTCTGAAGAGGAAGCAGGCAGGTGCAATCGAAGCAAGCAATGAAATCAGTCCGAGATGAATACACGAAATTAAACCTGAGAATAATCCACCGATGTCTATGCATTAAGGTAACAATGCAAAGGACCGCGAACGATGAGAGCATCAAATACTCGGATATGGTTAATGCCCACGGTATATAAGGTGTATGTTCGAATGCAATATCGGGTAATGGCGGCTGTTCGGGCACTTTCTCGTGAATCAACGACAACACCAATTCGTTGCAGACGGCTGCTGCTAACAGCATACCGAGGGCTATCTGCAGATGCAGATTTATACTCCTTTCATTGAATTCCGATATTATTTCAGTTAGTTGAGGCAAATTTTTTGAATCATTCTCTTGTTGAGAAATTTTAAGATAATCCAGAAAGGACACAGAACAAATGAGGTGTAAATGAAATGAGCGCGTTCTGAACTTACAGCAGCTTTANAATCCAGAAAGGACACAGAACAAATGAGGTGTAAATGAAATGAGCGCGTTCTGAACTTACAGCAGCTTTATGGTATTCATTGGGATACTTATCGTAAGCACTCGTTGTTGTTTTAATAACGGTATCACTGAGATCAATTTTGATACTTTCATGCGACTGAGGTGAGCCGGCATGCAATAATGGCACTCGACTGCCGTCACCTTCAATATGCATTCTTCAGCCTTTTATCTCGGCTCAATACTTATTTTTAAATGATTCCTGATCTTACTGATTCGATTTCAATTGGAATTCACATCATTCACACATAACGACAATGCGAACTTGCTAGCAGCACAATTTACGTGCGAATCATCAGCATTTGAAACGTGAAGTTTCAAAAGAAGAATGTGAAACACCTAGTTGAACGCCTACAATCCAATCTTCAGGAGAACGAACCAAAGCAATCTTCAGATGAATCTTCGGAGGAATTCGAACTGCTGCATACTCGGCGAACCGTTGAAGTGGGCAATTCGCAATAATCCTCGGGCATATCACAGCTATGATCCAGCGAGGAATAATCTGAATGGAACAGATGAGTGGAATGCACAGCAGCACTGAGCATCATATCGCTTGAATGACTTACAGACACTGATTAAACGGTATCAATATAAATGTCACACCACTTGTTCACATCGCTTGCCACTACCAACAAAAAAAAAACCNATTTCGGCATTACTAACGATTATTATTTAATTTGCTTGAATCAAAAAATCTCACGTGTTTTCAAACGACATGATAAGAACGCTTGGAATCTACATGGACTTTTGTATGATGCATACGAAGCTGATGATGTTTGACAAGCATCGATCTCATATGATGAAAGAAATCGCTTGTGAAACAAGACAGCTGACATTCTGGCAGCTTATCTCAGCATTTGCGATTTGTGTTGATTGTTTTTGCCGACTGGGGGAGCTGTTTCGTCGACAATAACAAAACAACTTCGTTATAAAAACGATTGTCGTTGATTAAATGATCATTAGTCTCTGAGATTGTTTATAAGTAACTATAAACCATCATCAATTACAAACGCAACAAAACAACTGTCATGGTAGTGAACAGTGTGTGCAAGTATTGAATGCTTGTTACTGTGGATGTGTTGTTTTCGACATGAAACTATATCGAAATTCAATGTGAATAATAATCATTTGAACGGTGTTATTTTGATG